CTGAAACGAAGGTAAGTAAAGTAGGAAAATGTGCTTCAACGAGTGTCAATACCATGTCTCTTTTTAATACATTGATTACATTCCTAAAGCCTCCTTCTAATACTGTCTTATCTTCAGGTAGGTTACAGATATATGGCAAGCGCTTTCGTATATTTACATCATGTTATTGTATTATAGAAGAACGAGAAAAAACAACCAACAAGGATAAAATAAAGCAACACTTAATGTGAGTGTTGTATATTTCGGCCACGCACGCGGTCTGCTGAAGAGGGCCTCAGTGTGAGGCTGAAATATACAATACTAATTTTAAGTATTTTCTTATTATCTCCAAGTGGGTTTTGTGCTAATAGCCAGAGTTTATTTGTGTTTGCATCATAAAACAAGGGAAAAATGAAAAAATATATAAATATATTCAGGATTAGACCTGACCTGACCTGACCTGATCTGACCTGACTTTAGATGGCCAGAACAGAGGATAAGATTGCGAGATTAGGTAGGGTATTATAGATCAAGTTTCAGTCGCACTTATTCAAACTGCCAGGTAGAGTCAATGAAACTAATACGTTACTTTCGTGGGTTTAAAAGTGAGTTAGACAAATACATGAGTGGGAATGATTGGATTGGAATAGAACTTCTCCAGGTTGATGGAATGACCACCTCAAACTACCCCTTCAAGGTTGATGAACTGACCACATCATCTCAACTGATTCTGCAATCTCACTGTTTACCACCTCTGTATTCGACTGATGAAGCCGAGAAGACGAGACGTTTCGTAATAAAGATACCTAAGTGTTGCACACGTGTCTTACTTATTTCCTTCATCCTTCAGTGAACTGGTATGTTGATACCTACAAGCAATAGATAAAAGTCAATCATGCACTATGAAGGAAAATATTTAAATGGAGGAACACTGCAGCAGGCTTACTGGCCCATATGGAAAAAAAGGACACTTACGTACAGTGTGGCTTTTTCAGTACTAACAATGAGTAGCAAAAACAAGCGAAATATTTAGCAGGAAATATCAGGAGGATAAAAGTCAGTAGTATGATATTAACCCTGGTAATGGCTACCGAACTGTGGTTTAGCGATGCTGTTTGACTCTAGTGGGTTTAGCGCTTGGTTTTGATTATAATAATGTGGTTTAGCGTGACACGTGAGTGAACACCAGCAGATAAATGATCGAGATCACAGAACTAAAACGTTTTGTGGTGAATGTTTTCTAATGTTTGCCCAAGTGCCTTCCTTGAGACCAGCAGCGAGGTGACATTAAGAGTAGGAGTTGGTAGCATCTGTGCAGGGTGGGACGGCAGGCTACCTGCAGTGCTGCCTGCCCTCCGTGGAACAGGCTTCCTGCAGTGCTCCCTGATTTAACTAGTCATTATCTGACGGCGGTATCACTGTTGGAAAAGAACCGTTTGGCCAGGGTTTTCGATACTCTATAACTGCTAGACCAAGGCCAAATGATTACCACGCAGGCAGCACTGCAGAAAGCCTGCCGTCTCACCCAGAGCAAGCAGCACTGCAGGAAGCCTGCCGTCTCACCCACATAAGGAAGGCAGCACCGCAGGAAGCCTACCGTCTCACCCAGAGTAAGCAGCACTGCAGAAAACCTGCCATCTCACCCAGAGCAGGCAGCACTGCAGGAAGCCTGCCGTCTCACCCAGGGCAGGCAGCACTGCAGAAAAGCCTGCCATCTCACCCAGAGCAGGCAGCACTGCAGGAAGCCTGCCGTCTCACCCAGTGGCAAGGCAGCACGCAGGAAGCCTACGTACCCGAGTGCCCTCGATCTCACCCAGAGCACGCAGCACTGCAGGAAGCCTGCCGTCTCATCCAGAGTAAGCAGCACTGCAGGAAACCTGCCGTCTCACCCAGAGCAGGCAGCACTGCAGGAAGCCTGCCGTCTCACATAAGGAAGGCAAGCACCGCAGGAAGCCTACCGTCTCACCCAGGGCAGGCAGCACTGCAGGAAGCCTACCGTCTCACCCAGGGCAGGCAGCACTGCAGGAAGCCTCCCTACCGTCTCACCCAGGGCAGGCAGCACTGCAGGAAGCCTGCTACCGTCTCACCCAGGGCAGGCAGCAATGCAGGAAGCCTACCATCTCACCCAGGGCAGGCAGCACTACAGGAAGCCTACCGTCTCACCCAGGGCAGGCAGCACTACAGGAAGCCTACCGTCTCACCCAGGGCAGGCAGCACTAGCAGGAAGCTGCTACCGTCTCACCCAGGGCAGGCAGCACTCAGGAAGCCGCTACCGTCTCACCCAGGGCAGGCAGCATGCAGGAAGCCTACCATCTCACCCAGGGCAGGCAGCACTACAGGAAGCCTACCGTCTCACCCAGGGCAGGCAGCACTACAGGAAGCCTACCGTCTCACCCAGGGCAGGCAGCACTGCAGGAAGCCTACCGTCTCACCCAGGGCAGGCAGCACTACAGGAAGCCTACCGTCTCACCCAGGGCAGGCAGCACTACAGGAAGCCTACCGTCTCACCCAGGGCAGGCAGCACTACAGGAAGCCTACCGTCTCACCCAGGGCAGGCAGCACTACAGGAAGCCTACCGTCTCACCCAGAGCAGGCAGCACTACAGGAAGCCTACCGTCTCACCCAGGCCAGGCAGCACTACAGGAAGCCTGCCGTCTCACCCAGGGCAGGCAGCACTACAGGAAGCCTACCGTCTCACCCAGGGCAGGCAGCACTGACAGGAAGCCTACCGTCTCACCCAGGGCAGGCAGCACTACAGGAAGCCTACCGTTCACCCAGGGCAGCAGCACTACAGAAGCCTACCGTCTCACCCAGGGCAGAGCAGCACTACAGGAAAGCCTACCGTCTCACCCAGGGCAGGCAGCACTACAGGAAGCCTACCGTCTCACCCAGGGCAGGCAGCACTGCAGGAAGCCTACCGTCTCACCCAGGGCAGGCAGCACTACAGGAAGCCTACCAGTCTCACACCCAGGGCAGGCAGCACTACAGGAAGCCTCCGTCTCACCCAGGCAGGCAGCACTGCAGGAAGCCTACCGTCTCACCCAGGGCAGGCAGCACTACAGGAAGCCTGCCGTCTCACCCAGGGCAGGCAGCACTGCAGGAAGCCTACCGTCTCACCCAGGGCAGGAAGCACTACAGGAAGCCTACCGTCTCACCTAGGGCAGGCAGCACTACAGGAAGCCTGCCGTCTCACCCAGGGCAGGCAGCACTACAGGAAGCCTACCGTCTCACCCAGGGCAGGCAGCACTACAGGAAGCCTACCGTCTTACCCAGGGCAGGCAGCACTACAGGAAGCCTGCCGTCTCACCCAGGGCAGGCAGCACTGCAGGAAGCCTACCGTCTCACCCAGGGCAGGCAGCAATACAGGAAGCCTACCGTCTCACCCAGGGCAGGCAGCACTGCAGGAAGCCTACCGTCTCACCCAGGGCAGGCAGCACTACAGGAAGCCTGCCGTCTCACCCAGGGTAGGCAGCACTGCAGGAAGCCTGCCGTCTCACCCAGGGCAGGCAGCACTGCAGGAAGCCTGCCGTCTCACCCAGGGCAGGCAGCACTGCAGGAAGCCTACCGTCTCACCCAGGGCAGGCAGCACTTCAGGAAGCCTACCGTCTCACCCAGGGCAGGCAGCACTGCAGGAAGCCTTCCGTCTCACCCAGGGCAGGCAGCACTGCAGGAAGCCTGCCGTCTCACCCAGGGCAGGCAGCACTGCAGGAAGCCTGCCGTCTCACCCAGGGCAGGCAGCACTGCAGGAAGCCTACCGTCTCACCCAGGGCAGGCAGCACTGCGGGAAGCCTGCCGTCTCACCCAGGGCAGGCAGCACTACAGGAAGCCTTCCGTCTCACCCAGGGCAGGCAGCACTGCAGGAAGCCTACCGTCTCACCCAGGCCAGGCAGCACTGCAGGAAGCCTACCGTCTCACCCAGGGCAGGCAGCACTGCAGGAAGCCTGCCGTCTCAACCAGGGCAGGCAGCACTGCAGGAAGCCTACCATCTCACCCAGGGCAGGCAGCACTACAGGAAGCCTACCGTCTCACCCAGGGCATGTCAGCACTGCAGGAAGCCTACCGTCTCACCCAGGGCAGGCAGCACTGCAGGAAGCCTACCGTCTCACCCAGGCCAGGCAGCACTGCAGGAAGCCTACCGTCTCACCCAGGCAGGCAGCACTGCAGGAAGCCTGCGTCTCACCCAGGGCAGGCAGCACTGCGGAAGCCTACCTCTCACCCAGGGCAGGCAGCACTGCAGGAAGCCTGCCGTCTCACCCAGGGCAGGCAGCACTGCAGGAAGCCTGCCGTCTCACCCAGGGCAGGCAGCACTGCAGGAAGCCTGCCGCTCACCCAGGGCAGGCAACACTGCAGAAGCCTGCCGCTCACCCAGGGCAGGCAGCACTGCAGGAAGCCTACCGTCTCACCCAGGGCAGGCAGCACTGCAGGAAGCCTGTGTCTCAACCCAGGGCAGGCAGCACTGCAGGAAGCCTACAGTCTACCCAGGCAGGCAGCACTGCAGGAAGCCTGCCGTCTCACCCAGGGCAGGCAGCACTAGCAGGAAGCCTGTCGTCTCACCCAGGGCAGGCAGCACTGCAGGAAGCCTCCGTCCTCACCCAGGGCAGGCAGCACTGCAGGAAGCCTACCGTCTCCCCCCCTCAGGGCGGTACAGCACAGCAAGGAAGCCTGCCGTCTCACCCAGGGCAGGCAGCACTGCAGGAAGCCTACCGTCTCACCCAGGGCAGGCAGCACTGCAGGAAGCCTGCCGTCTCACCCAGGGCAGGCAGCACTGCAGGAAGCCTGCCGTCTCACCCAGGGCAGGCAGCACTGCAGGAAGCCTACCGTCTCACCCAGGGCAGGCAGCACTGCAGGAAGCCTACCGTCTCACCCAGGGCAGGCAGCACTGCAGGAAGCCTACCGTCTCACCCAGGGCAGGCAGCACTGCAGGAAGCCTACCGTCTCACCCAGGGCAGGCAGCACTGCAGGAAGCCTGCCGTCTCACCCAGGGCAGGCAGCACTGCAGGAAGCCTGCCGTCTCACCCAGG